TTTGGCAAATACCCGTGTAGCTAACTGTTAGAGTTGCATGCTTCATGGCTAAGTTCCCGAGAAGCAATCATCTGCCAGTGGCTCGATAAAAGACGATAATTTAACTTTATAATGACTGCTCAATCTGCCTGCTCTTAACAGACGTTTCAAAAAGTAAGTCTGAATAATTCGTTCACAATGTGGCAATAATGCTCAAAAGAGCATAAACACTAATTCATTGTTATATAACAACGCATATGCAATCGTGCAATCAAACAATACCGGTTTCCACATGTTTCCGGTGACTTTTTCAAAGCAAAAGAATATTATGTTTTATAAGTTCTGGCAACTTTCAGCATTTCGTACTGCGGAGTCATCTATTTTTCGTATTGTGAAGAAAGTCCGCAAGACACTTCCGAAATATGTTACTGATCAATTATCCAATTGTTTAAGTCAGTTACATTTGTATAAGTAACTGTCTTGCGCTCTTCTGGAAACGAACTGAAGTAAACGTATACGATTTCAATAATTAGTTTGCAAGAGAATCATCAAATTTATGATCAAAATTAACAGCACACGTAACATCTTGTTGAATTTAATCGATAGTCTTCTTGCTGCATTTTCAACGTATCTTCTTTTTAGTTTTGCCCAAGGGAATAAATACTGGACTATAAATGGGCGTTCTCTTCCTTCTTCTCTCATGATCTTCACTGCAAAAATTTCTGTTTCATGTTTTTTGGCTTTTTTTTCATTAGTGGTACCTAAAAATGCTTAGTTTTTATTATTGCCCAGGTCGCTGACATACTTATGTTTGTTTGGAAGGTGATTGCCATTAGTAGAAAACGTTTCGATCATAACTCAGAGTTTCACGAAGTGCACGAGATGACAGGAAAACACTAAAAAGTTTAATACCCACTATAAGTACACCTACACTCTTGGTTTCTCGTATAAAGTTCATGCGCAGTCAGAAATTACCATTCCTCTGGCTTTCTAAGAGCATTGTTTGAAGGCGAAAAGACTGATCAGCTATACAGCTTTCTTTAAGTTGAGATGGCCTCAGACCTACTCAAAATACACGTAGAATGAGGAGATTCTTTCACGAACTTCATTTATTGTTCGCGCAGGAGTTTGCACTTTGCATAACATATCATGGCTCACTCGTTCCTGTTTATTAGAGATTTTTAGTGCATTCTTCCGTTTGAATTGGCATTCGTTTCCGTGCGAAAAATTGCACAGTGATTAAAGACAGGGCCCTTAGGTTGCAAATAGTGAGCAAAATGAATCTAATAATAATAATAATAAACTTAATAGCAGTATAACGTTTCTGTTATCGAATGAATTTCAAAATATACAGTGATCCTCGGAGCAAAAATTTCTTGAGCGTACATCGAATATTAGCAAGTTATGGAATGTTTCAGTTTTAACTGCTGATTACATTCAGAGATATTTTCGAATTTCACCGTTCGAATAAACAAACTTGAAATCACAAATTTTGCTCAAATGGCCATAATGAAATGGTTTCAATAGTAACTTTAAGAAACGGGAGTTGAAATGTAGCTATTTGCTCAGTTATGAACATATAGCAGTAACTTAGCGCTGGAAAATGCTCTTACCATGCAGCGGTAGCTTTCTTAAAAACGATGTATCTTCCCACCAAGGAGGACGAAAAAAGAGCTTGATGTCTTCATCTCCGGTAGCCTTTATGATAGACCTTTCGATACGGCGATTAGCTCTCTTTCTGTTTCCGAAAACATTTCCAGACAAATTAGATTGTGGGATTCTTTCTAGATTAGCAGAACAGGTGCTGAAAAATTTATTGCAGAATGGCGTTCCACAAATACAAGACGACTTGTCAAGGGTGGCTATGGTTAACGTCCTTGCAGTGTCTTTACAGTACCGAATGAAGGTGTATCTTCCCGCAAGCCACCCACCTCCAGCAGCGCACTTCTCGCCGAAGCAATAACCACGTTCCAAGGAATCGAAATAACCATCACATACTACCGATTCGTTTCCGTGATCAAAACGATCACAAAAACATGCAGTTCTAATATGAAATGCTGTTAATCAGCCAGAATAAAACTGGAAAGAAGTTGGAGAAAAGAGAGACATGGATAACAGAAACCCATTATAAGAAACACGCTAGGAAGGAGAAGAAATGAAAAATGCGAACATACATTTGATGAACATGCATAAACTTATTTACGTTAAAACTAATAAGAGTTTATTTTTCTGCTGCCATTCAATCTTAAGCAAAGGTCTTGGCTTAAGAGTTCATAGGCGGCAAGCGCGACGAAACTCAGGGCATTAAGTGCTCATATTATGTTAAGGTTGAGGATATCGCAGAAGTTGATGATTGATGTTTGCATGTCGCCAGTTTCGGCAAATTTCCAACCTGTTTATATTTCCTGAACACACTGACGATTGGGGACGTGTTCTTGTGTTGATTGCATCACTCTGTCCATGTTTTTGTCATTTGGAAGCTTGACTTAGTGATAAGCAGTGCCATTATCCCTCTGCGGTGAAAGCGAATGAATAACAGACTAATTCTTGGCTCTATGATGAACAATCGTACTGTATTACCTCTCTTTTGAAACTTTGATTTAAAAAATCTCGCTTCAGTTTTTCTATAATCTGGTGACGGTTCGTCGCGCAGGTATGCCGTACAAAGGATCTTATCGTTTATCGACCAGACGATTCATTCCTGACCAAATGATCATGAGTGAGGTTTTACATATACGATATCGGTCCTACAAATGAGCTCGGATAATGCTCAATTGGAACATAACTAATACATGATATAAAATGCTTTCGTGTAGAAACGCTAACAATAATGATAGTCCAGACAATGCCGAACTGACTTTTCCTTATGTGCCTGGACTGTCATGTCTAGTCCGGCTACCCAAGCCACGGTGTAAACATTTCACGTAGAAAAAATCGACCATGCTTTAGTGGTTGATCTATCATATGCAGCTTGTAGTGAGTTAAATGGGGGGGGGTTAATTTCAAGGCCCTGTACACTCAATTATAAGGATGTAGTTAATCGACTTGTAGCCTTAAAGTGCCATATTCTTGTTTCACTAGGGAATATTCATACACGCATATGCTTCCAGCTGCATCCACAGCATTAGGCGTTGTGGAGCAACGAATGCTGCTTCAGGGAATCTTACAGATCAAGACTTTTCGAACGAATTACAGAAGAGGAAAGAACATACCGCTTCCTTTTGCAGCGTAAAAAATTTTCGTTACAATGATCTTCATCGCTGCACGCACACGTCTCCAGTCGAGTGTCACTGTCAAAATTTCTCCATACTTTTGTATCATTCGTTTCTCGGCAACCGGCGAAAAGAGGTGTTTCAATATCAGTAATCGTTCTCATAACTACTCCAATTATGCAATGTCGACCATAACACGTACCATTCTCTGAACATTGTCCCTGATCATTTGATCCAATATGAAGTTGAGGTCCAAAACATCTGCATACTTTCGCATAAACGGTAGTGAAAAAAGCGCTGTAAAAGGTAGCAAAGCAAAAAGCCAAGACCGCATTCATGACTGATGAAGTTATCCATGAAAGCGATGCGTAAACATTAAGTTAAATTTTGTTTAAAAAGCCAAAGGCTGTTTAAACTAAGATTGTAACGAGATACCGTTGTCAAATGTAGTCTTAGGATCAGAAGAAATATGCGATTAATGTGCAAATTTAAGATATATTACAACTACATAAAGCTAAACCATGACTATGCAAATAATGACAAAAGCATTTTTTTAAAAATTGTTTTAAATCCGAATTATCAAGCATTTTTAGAACCTTGTGTTCGCCTCACCTACGAATCGTAATCATGCATCAAAACTGTAGGTAGCACGCTGAAAAAAGCTAATCAAGCGGATTCATAAAACCGCAGTTCCCAATCATTCCATTTGAACATGTAGTCAAAATGAACTTCTTTAAAAATATTTACACACTGGAATCTTCTGGCGTGTTATAATGACTGCTGATTATGAATAGGAAAGACTGCCAAAAATTAGAACATCGAGAAAAATTACAGCGGCTCTTGCGATGCTTCTACGACGATTCCTATTAGAAGTTGTTTGTTGATTCAGAATAGACACAACACGAACTAATCGATGGGAAGACAATGACATATTCTTCGCTGACATTTTCTTACTTCTTTCTTCGTTTTCAGCAATTGTGTTGAAGTGCGATTACGTAATTGGCATAACGCTGAACGAGTGATTAAAAACTGACCGATTCTAATTGCAGTAGAAGGAAACAAAACGTTGCACGCTAAATACCTGCAAGTCACACTGCTAGAAAGTGTGGAAGTTGTGTAAAAAAAAGTTTCCTGCCAATATTCAAATCATATATGTTTCTGAGCGAAGCCTTACTATTTCATTAAGTTACTTTTCGAATGCAAGATCAAGAACGACGGTTAAACAGTCGTCAACCGCTGTGACACCGAGATGCTAAATGATAGGACCCCAAGAAAGAATAACTCTCTTCAATTATGAGCGTTCATGCCTCCAGTTGCAGCGGTTAAAGAAAAGATGCAGAAAACGATTGCTTTTATCTCAGAAATCGCATGAGCACGCCTTCGCATCAGTCAACTAAGTTTTCACTGAGGAACTTATGAGAAGCATGTTGGTTTTAAAATTTTTGTCACAGTCACATGAAGCTAACCAGCTCGACCAGCAGAATTACCAGACCTCTCTAACTGAGAACACCGAGGATATCATAGGACGTTCTGCAACGATCAACTTGATGATGATAACAAGTAATAACAACTTTGATTAAAGAACTTGATGCAATCATTCAAATTTATACAAGGGAAAACAAACTAAAAATAAAATTTTACTTTTCACTAGTTTAACTGACTAGGTAAAGGCATAGGTAAAATCACAAAACATGTCGCTGAAAAATATGCCACATAACTTTGAGACATGGATTATCGCAGCTAACAATGAATGACGAACAAAAGACCAAACAACAAGATAAGCACTTAAACGCGCATCATAATATGAATTCAGTAAGCTCGTAAATTAGTTCTGTCTGAAAGATGCGTAGAGTCTGACAACAGCTCGACCTGCCATTGGCCATCGGACGTTTTCTGCAACTTCGTGATTGTGCACAAGCCGACGTAAGACGCCGTACCAGTATAGAATTTCAAGAGACCCGCAATCGAAGCTCCATGTGCCACAAACAATATCGATCCACTGAAGCACTGACAAATTTTGCTAGCAGCCTCGCCGACACGTCCAAAACAGTCAGCGTCATACCTTTCACGTCTATGGGGAACAACTGCTGATCTGTAGGTGTCATCGACGCATGGAAATCTCGCCTTCAATGTTTCACAGTCATTATAACCTACAAACGTCATTAGTTAAAAAACAAGGAAACAAAAACTCCAGGAACAGCATAAAATAAATAACAAGGTAGGAAACAACAAACCAGTTATTGTTTACAGCATTGGATCAAACCTGCAAATACAGACTCAGAAATGTCAAATCACCAAAAACAATTAAATATACTTCTGAATGCGTGTTAACGGTAGTGAAGGAGGTGTTAAACAACTGAGTGAAATCTGAACTGGACAAATCAGATATGTCCATTATAAATAGCGATTTGATTAACACGATAAACGAATGCCTTGACTGTCATACTATACTTTCCAAGCGACTCGTCAATTAGTACAATGAGCGATTTCAAGCTAAAAAGATAAGGTAAGGATTCTACAACTATTAAAGGTAAAGACGTTAGCAAGGAACACAGAAAATGAAGTTCAAAGTCTGATATTTGTGAAAACTTCGATATCTCACACTGCAGGATCCGCTGAATGAAGTTATATTTCATCAAGAAATACAGAGGTATGCTAAAGTCGTATTTTTTGATAACGTAATGTTCTTTATTTATGCGTTTACTTATTCGAAACAACTTCGAAATTAAGACCACTTCAGCTGCTAATAACGGCTGTAATATAAATTAACTGCTCAAACCGAAAGTCCTTACATTAATCAATCTTCATGGAAATTATCAGTATGGACTTGTGAAACTAGGAATCAAAGAAAAGACTGGGGAAAGATCTAAACAGGTAATAGTTCCATGGAATTACAGGACATGAATGTGAACAGCTTACGTATGCCGAGTCATAAAATAACCACTTCGTTCGATGCATCAACCAACAATTATTTTATCTCCAAATATGTTTGCAAATATTGAACAGCTGTGAAAGTGCATTTATTAACGCGATAGCCTGCCACACGGACCTCTTAGAACCGGGGACCTGTTATAAAGCTTCGTGGTGATAAATGGTCATGTGAAAATGATGATGAGTTAAGTAAAAACGAACGTATTCAATTTACATAAAAATGCACGCTGTACATATAGCAAAGGTGAGCTGAGAACCTTTCCCATGAATTAGCTTTCGCTGCTGCCCTGCGTGCTTTTTCGTACCACATGCGAGTTAAAGGCTCCTTGCTTCCACGTCACCCTTAGAATGTTGCCTTCTCCTCCTCGACGGCCTACTGAGCCTCAAGTGTCCGCTGAGAAGTTCGTTCATAACGTCAAGCGCCAAACCGTTTAAAACCATAGTAATCGAGGCTGCTGTAACTCCGTCGCGCTTTAAGAGCTTCTAGTCGTTTTCCATGTCAGCAATCATCACCATGATCTTTTCAAACCTTTTCACGATGTTGTTTGCAAGTTCCGCTCTCGTATCGCTGAAGAAAATGATTTACATTGAACTCTTTGGTGCCACCGTCATCGTATAGTACTCCATCTCTTACAAAGTAGAGTGTCAACAACAAGGTTATAATCTGTCGCCAGCTATCAGCTTCTCTTAACACAAAGATTCATTACAGAGCGCCTCAAGTCAGAAGACACGATTATGAAATCGATCAATGACTTATATGACCAAGATCCCCCATTCAAGATATACTGATATGCAATTAAATTTATCATTCAAAAACTAAACGGCTTAGAAAACGGATTGAAAATGTAAATAATTAGTACCCTTATATAAATTTCTTTACCTGGCGGAAAAGTCCAAAGAATTTCACATATTCCATTTTCAATTTTTACCGACTTACGAACCGCCTCTGCTATATGATTTGCAGTCTGCACACAGCGTAAGAACGGGGAAGAAAATATATGGTCGATCCTCTCATTCTTCAGTCGTGCAGCGACCTCTTTAGCCTGCTTATGACCTAATTCCGCTAGCGGAGAATCGTCAAGATTCGTCGCCGTTTTCTTCCATGCCGGATCGACGTAATCCTGGCGTTCGCCATGACGAACGATCCACACGGTTTCTACAGCCTAAACAATTCTAAATGATGCAGTAATAATATAAATAAAGGACAGATTATAACCAAGCACAGACTATGACCAGTCATAACAGATAGCAGACCTGTAAACACCTTAAGTATTAGAAGAAAAAGTTGTATTTAGTCGCTGTTACTGCGTGATAATCATCCCTCTTACGATTTACCTGGTAGCCTCTTTTACCCTGATTTTTATTCAGCCATCATCTGACCCACAAAGAGTTTGCCATAGGATAAAGCTATGTTCATATAGGATATGCATTTTCTGTATGGTCCGGAGAAGGCCGCACTTAACAAGCTTGAAAATTAAAAACTAGAAAAAAGGGGAGGAAATAAACAGCGTAGATCGACAGCATGAGTGAGAAATGGCAGCATGTAGGACATTCGACCAATGTTATCGACTGACTACAAGCAAGAGGTTTTTAAGATTGTTCCATCATTGCCAGCAAATGAATGATTGCCATCGTTTCGTTGACAGGCTTCCATCTAATAATTTTAACAGTCACTTTAGGTTCTACTAGAACTCAAACACCGGCATTAATATGGGTGGTGGAGTCGAGAACTGAAAAGAGTAGCTTCCACCTAGAGAAATTCAGGATTCCACGGCCTTGGTCCTTTGTTGGCGAGAGTCCAACAATGCCGAGTTGGTACCTTATCGCCTCATCAACTAACTCTTGTTCTCTCCGTCTGAGAGCATATATTCCAATCTCAGACTGTAAGCTCCCACTGGCGGTGTCGTTCTGGAGGCGACTTTTCTGATATGATATAATGGCATCGAGCTGTCTACCTCATCCTTTCAGAATGGGTAGCGAGTTCCTTGCTGAGTGGCATCTTCGTCGTCGTTTCGTTGATCTTCGCCAACCGTTGTTCTGCTGCGCCCGCAGTTACCAGATGACGTCTAAGAAGTTCTGATTACCAACATATTGAAGGTTTAGCGGCTAAAGATCAATCGGGCGACGACGGAGCTGGCATAACTTTCCAACGCTTCATAACAGGAATTTCATCAGCAGCACAGTTCGAAAGCTTGAATAAAACTTTGGCTCAGAATTTTGGGAAATTTAAGATGAACGGATTCATAAAGAAGAAAATAAAGACTCACCTTCGAGCTCTTGAGGTCAAGAATGGAGAGATATGATCATATTTTGATTAATCTTTAGATACAACATAATTAACTTTCAGACATCGGTCAACAACGAAGACAACTTACTTCTGCTGGCGGTCGGTGTGAAATCATCGCTGAAGCAGCTAGTAGATAGGCGATGAATCCTTCGGCAAACCCCAAACCTTAAGAAAATATTAAAAGCTGGTTTACAATTTTTTGAATAAAAAAATTACATACTGAATCTTTGACGACGTTGCGAGAGAAAAAAATTTTGGCCGAAAAATCATGTGAAATTTGAAAATATACTGATTAAATGAATTCACAGTCGAACATTAACTTTCAGCTTTGAGTAACGAGGTAATGAACCTCAACGAGATATGGTAAGAATATGAAGGTGTTGGCACAATTATCACAGTAAAATGGCTGCATCGAAAGTAAAGTATATTACTTTGAGCATCGCCATATATTGCTGCCATACTGCACTGGAGTACCTGAGGATGAGCGTTGTCGCTGGCACAATGGTATTCCGATAAAGCTACGTCCGGGAGGCGACGTTTAAAAACCTATATCTCTTCTTGGTGGTGCAGGACAAGCATCAAATGAGGTATTCGTGAAGTGAGAGGGTTGGATACTTGAAAATGGTGCTATCTATTCAAATTCCTTGCGACATTACTGATTCAGTCATTTGAAACGCCAAGTCATTTAAGGGAAGAATGAGTCTAGAAATAAGCTACAGTAATCGCTTTACTGTTTTAAAGTCCGTCACATGTTTGCAGCATGGGAAAGATGACGACCGCTGTGTAGTTGTAACGGGGAATGGTGCATGCATATACAAATGTCTTAATGGCAACTCCCAGAGCATGCAACTTCCTCAACGATTTCGAATACAACGCTATTCTCCAGCACCGATTCACAGTTGACAGTACATGCTGATGTCTGAAAAAAATCAGATGTCACAGCGACCCCCAAGTACTTGATGTACCGCAGTTGGGTTACCGGATGACCAGCTATTTAAATGGTCTGTATCGACAGATCTAGGAATGTCTGGTTTCGTGCGTTGCGCATCACAGACAAAATTTTTAGTTTCCCGTCGGAAGAGCTGATTAGAGGTGAAGTAACAGCAGATGGCAGATATGCTGGTCGTGTAAGTATCCCAATCTTCAAGTGCCCTGAAGAAGCTCAAAACGACAGTGTCATCAGTATATTTGGCATATTTGAGCAGAGCATTAGAGATGCAGTCATTAGTGAAAATGTTAAACAACAAATGTGGAAGGACTCAGCCTGCACGACACCCAATATGTTTGGCATTAGGTCTGACTTTCTCCGGCCGACGTTTAAGAAACTGGCCGCAACGGATGAAGTAATCTGCAAGCCACTATATGAGTGTACACAGTGTGTGCAAGAGTTTCTCACGAGGGATTGTACTGAACGTACCACAGGTTCAAAATTAGACAAGTGCATTCATATGTGGAGAAACTGGTACAGAATTCATCTCCTATTCATAGAATCCTGGTTTCCTATCAACATTCCATGAAAACTGACTATCACCGCCGATTAGTAGTACAACTATGAACACAGAAAAATTTTCCAATGTCGCGGAAGAAATTTACCACATTGCTACTGGAAAAGAATGGAGAAATCTGATGTCATGGGAAATCCAATCGCATCCATAACCAGACGATAAATACTAGACATAAAAGGTCTGCATTTCGCTGCTGCGAAAAATAAATTACAACTTATTCATACTGACGCATCAATCAAACAGGCGTACTCGAAAAATTACAAACCAAGAAGGTGCCCCAAAACATGCTTCGGAAATAGAGATATGGCGAGTACCGTTCCAATTTATCCAAAATTGAGCCAAATGCTTCAAAAAATGTAAAAAGATGATGAACCCCTTGCAATTTGAAACTGGATAGAACAACTACAACAGTAATTATGAAAAAGGAACGTTTGTACACGTAGGAATGAAGGACTTTCACGATTTGGTCATTCTTATGTCATTTTTCATACGCAATTCAATTAACAGCAGGGCTGCAACGGCAGCGACACATCTTCATCGAGAAGACGAAAAAGGCAGAAACAGCTGCTCATCACATCTTTCGGAAATTTTATAAAGAAATAAACTTTAACGGTGGATGATTAAATTTTGGGCAGTATATAATATATGTATACTGCCAAAAATATATAACGCGTAAAATTTAAATTCAAACAGAGGCCATCACAACTTTCTGCATATATTCGATGAATAACTTATTGTATATCGTCATTGCTGATAGGTAAGCTTGAAAAAACAGTTTCAAAAACAGCTGGTAGAAGTAGTATTACGGTTTTTGATCCGCAGGGCAAATTTTACTACGTTCTGACACAACTTCACCTTCAAAGAATGTCTCAAAATGCATTACAGATTGGGTCGAAATTTCAACAGATGTTAATCATTCCATATAATAAATGCATAGTGCCAATCAAGGAAATTATATCTTGTGCTGCGGTCATATCTTCTGGTCGCAAGATTCATGAGAAAATTTCTTCAGTTTTGTTTAGTTCGTCACATTGTTCACTTTGCATTAACAGAACTTTTAACAGAACCTTCTTTGTTTTTGGATGCCCAATGCATGCGCAGCTTTTCAACACGTTAGCTATAACTTACTCGTTATTGCATTCAAGAAAAAAATATTCCTCACTGAATGCAAGTCTGTCACTATGTTCTACCTCCGGATTAAGGCTGGTCTACTCCGTCGTCTCTTGGTTCCCAAACGAGGTACTAATGGGCTGAATTAAATAATGTATTCTCAACCAATATGTCTAACAGGGCTATCGTAATTTTTGCAAACTCGACATCTAAAGAAATCAATTCAATATGTTCATGAATAGTCATCTCCTCAGTGGCATGTCATTTAACCGTGATTGTGTGCCAAAGCCAAAATGTTTTGTGTTGCTCGACCGTCACCCCTGTTTTTTTTCTTAGAACAATTTTGTCCATGCTGTACAGCAGCACTGATCCTGCACAAGCAAAGAATCGGAGGATTTTGGACCTAAAGCAAACTCTTTTACAACCATTGTGTTGAGCTGTTTAAAAGCCACTTCATTCTAGCGTGATCTTACTCTCAAAGTCAGGCTGAACACTGTTTTTGCTGAAGCCGAGATATGTAAACTCGCCAATCACCTCAATGGCCCAATATATCAATGGTTACCATAGAACCTAGGTGAGGTGGATGGGTTCCTCATAGCGTTTCACTTACAGACGTGAAGGAATATGCTGGCTTTCGTAGCTGCATTCCATGTATTGTGAGATGACACAACATGTTTCCAATATTACTCACAAGGACAGTGTCGTTTGTTTACTCAAAGTCAGCAAAATAAATGGAATAAATTTTCAATTGCGTCTTTCCAGTAGAATGATAGCAATGATAGCTTCGTCTTTACAAAGGTTGGAATTATTTTTGGAGAAGAAAGTCGAAAACTTTATTAAATGGCAGAGACAATAGCGCATCGTGCTGGTAAATTCCATGGATATTCGGGATCGAATCAGAAAGCTATGCTTCAATTTTGACACTTCACATGTTCAGCAAATTTTTAAAGGTGATCTTCGTTCTGAACTGCTAATGGAGTACAGTTACTGTCTTAAATACATACGCAGTTCCCAGACTACCGTGCGCACTGTCGCATTGCTTTAAGCACTGTTCGTTACTTACCGTTTCTGAATAAAATTCTTCTTGATCTCCCCCTCCCGCCAAAACTTTCTTCTCCACCTCTGTCTCTGATTGAAGGACATGGGAAAGAGACGGCGAAGAACTACTTTTGAGGGTGCAGTATACGATTGGAAATTCTCATTATTTGCTTAATTCCTTTGCAATCTGAAGGCCCTATTTCTGGTACATCTGCCATTGCCCAGAGCAGTTTAACTATTCAGTTCCTTACCCAAACTACGAATTTCGGCCAGGAAATAACGGCTTCTCTGATATGTTCGTAACTATTATCGACCTTGGGCATTAAGGTGTCATTGAAATTACTCTTTATCTCCCATTAATAGGACAGTTGTGTTGCATCGTCATATTTAGCCCGTGAACATCGAGAAATTCATGTCTGAACCAAACGACGACGATGTTAATCAGCTAATTTTAAGCGAAGTTCTGCTTCGACGATATGAAGACTTTAACTAGCACTTGACGTGGGTCTCGAGCGACACCATTT